GATAGTCATTTCCCAGCAAAAACATTATAAATGCTATAATGTGTTTCAATGGGAGCGTGTGTGCCATGTGTGTGTTTGTGTGTGCCTGTGTGTGTGGATATGTGAGTTTTTGTGCATTGAGGATATTCTGCAGTCTCAGCCCTTTGTTTGGGTATGCATCTTTTCTGGATTGTGTCAGATTTTGTATAGTCAAAAAAATCAAATAAATTAAAAAATGCTGTTTTTTTTCGGACATTCCATTCATTCCTATGTCCGGGTCAAAATGAATGTAATACTTGTGGGTGTAATACTTTTTTTATTACCCCCACATAGAATCCTCGAATCGACTAAAATTTTTTTGTGTGTGCTCCATGCTCAAGTGTGACAAAATAAAAAAATCCATTTTTTTCGTAAATTCCATGCTTTTCCAGTGGCGGGTCAAAAGGGACACTTTTGATACTTTTTTTATAGCACCCACTTAAACTGCTCGAATTCACTCAAATTTTTTTTTCATGTATTCCCGATTCAAGTGTGACAAATGTAAAAAAGTCTCATAACATAACGATCAACACTCGATTTTTAAAAAAATCTTTAAAAATGAGTTTTGGGTCAAAACGACCAGAAGGACGGATGAGGGTTAAAGCTGTTGCTTGTTTTTAATCATATTTAAAGATTTACTGACTCCACAGCAAACAGAGCAATTTTGTTCTTACTGTCCCAATACTTATGGAGGGCACTGTACATTTAAATATTTAATGTAATATCAAATTAGTTCAAATTAACTGACAAAAGATTGTTTAAAAATGATTAAAATGTCTCTTAAAAAATGTGAACATAATTTAAAATGTCTCTTAACTTTTAAAAGTGTACTTAAGTGTTAAGAAACTGTCATGAAAGTGGCTATCATTTTATTTTAAGGTGTCCTTGTTACAGTGTAATAATACATTTAAGTACTGAGTAATATTAATTAACTACATTTACTTTCTGTATGGTTGGGGTTAGGATTAGGGTTTGGCTTAGGGTTACTTGCATGTAATTATGCATAATTACATGCAAGTAACCCTAAGCCAAACCCTAATCCTAACCCCAACCATACAGAAAGTAAATGTAGTTAATTAATATTACTCAGTACTTAAATGTATTATTACACTGTAACAAGGACACCTTAAAATAAAGTGTAACCAAAGTGAAAGTGAAAGTCTTTACTTAAGTGGCCTTTAATTTTATTAACATTATATTATCTGCAAGTACAGTTTTTTTAATATAGACTTGAAGTACACTACAAGTGCACATTCAGTACACCTACTTTTTAATGTGCAATTCACACACTTGTCTTTAGAAGTAGCCCAGGATATGAAAGATGTGCATGTGCATTGGACTGGACAGCCATACAAATGGTTGTTTAGTTTACATGTTAGATGTTGAGGGCCAGAATGGCACGCACGCACACACACACACACACACACACACACACACACACTCACACACACTCCTTCTCCCTGTACACACACACACACACACACTCACACACACTCACACTCCCTGTGGCTGCATGGAAATGCTCATCTCTTTCAGATGTGTCTCTCGTTTGACAATCGAAGCCGTGGGGCAGTGAGCACTTGAATGAGTTTCTGACAGCGTGTGTAGTTGAGTGTGTGTTAATGTGATCATGTGGGCGGCTGCAGCGCCCTGTAATAAAAGGCAGTAGGTTGGAACTGAGCTGGAGGGCATTACTGCTTGTTTGTGTGTGTGTGTGTCTCTAATCACGTTTACTGGAAACCAATAGAAGTGCTAGCAGATGTTACAGCTGTAAAAGCTTGTAGTGTGTGTGAGTTGTAATAGAGGGTCGTGCACGTTGTAGTACAGCTTATCAGTAGATGTATGTGATGTTGGCTTTTACATTTTTTCAATGGAAAGACCTGCAAAACTGTTCAGGCTCATAAAAATTTGGACTGTTTTGAACATAATACTGGTTTACTGCTTATACTGCATATATGTTAGACTGCCTACTGTATAAAAGTCTGGGGCCAGTAAAATGTTACTTTTATTATTTGAAAGAAATTGTTTTATTAAGTGAGGATGCGTTCATTTGATCAAAAGTGAAATTTATATAATGTTACAAAAGATTTTATTTCAAATAATGGCTGAAAAAAATTTATTATATTTTCCACAACGATATAAAGCAGCACAACTGATTTCAACATTGATAATAATCAGAAATGGTAAATCAGCATATTAGAATGATTTCTGAAGGATCATGTGACACTGACTGGAGTAATGATGCTGACAATTCAGTTTTGATCACAGCAATAAATTACATTAAAAAAAAATTACAATAGAATTAGCTATTTTAAATTGCAATAATGTTTTCACAATATTACTGTTGGTATGCATTTTCAGTAAAATAAAATCCAGCCTTGGTGAGAAAAAGAGACTTTAAAAACATAAAAAAATGTTAACTAACTTTTGAACAGTAGTGTATCAGGTCAAGATATTCAGCATGCATACAGAAAATTTGCTTACTGTGCACAGTATGCATACTGTGTCCAGCGAATTAAGTACAAGTAGTACCGTGGTGTATTCCAGACATAGTCATTATGTCTAATAAGCACTGCGCTGAACATTCTCTCTCTTTTCTCCTGCAGGCGAACTCTCCACCCGTAGTGGTAAATACAGACACACTGGATGGCTCACCTTATGTAAGTATCATGCATGTTTTAGTCTTTAGAGCTAGAAATAATTAGTGGTGCAGACATGAATGATACCTCAAATCAAGAATACCCTGACATTGCTAATAATAATGCCCTGGCAGCCACCCGCAGTGCCATTGTTGCAGCTCACAACACCCTAGCAACCACATATCAAGTTTTGGGAGCAACATTCCTATCCAAAAAGTCATAACCCACTAAAACCCACTAAGTAATAGCTAAATAAGAATGTTGTAGAAGCGCCTAACTCTGGTGTTGTCTGCATGTCTGTTACTGTATAATGCATGTCTTGAGCTGACATGTCTCAGAGGATCTGACGTTGTGCTTGTGTTGTCTTGTAGGTCAATGGAGCAGAAGGAGAGATTGAATATGAAGAGATTACGTTGGAAAGGGTAATCTTGCAAACAATTACAGTCCTGTATTTTTTGACATATGTCATTCTTTGTATGGGTGCTGTTTTCAGTTTGGCAAGGTACTTTTTATATTTTTAATATAAAGTAATATTTTGTGAGAGTAATATTTTACATATTCTTGTGAAAAATAACTATTCTTAATTATATTGAATGTGTACTTCAAATCTTAAAAGTATATTATTACAAAACTGTACTTGCAAATGATATAATATGAATTAACCAAAGCCACTAATTTTAAGAGAGACAATTTGATGACTGTTTCTTAACACACTTAAGTACACTTTTAAAAATTACACTTTGTTATAATGTCAAATTAAAAGGTTTACTTTAAAGTACATTTTAAATCATTATGTTTTAATAATATTTTGTTGATTATTAAGGGAGCATACTTAATTTGATGTATTGACTAACAGTGGAGTACTTGATTATAATTTTATTATAAGCTAATTTAACTTTAGTGTGCTATTCAGTGTGACATTTAATATATTTCAAATTTATTCAATTGCAACTTCATTAGAAATGTGCAATTAAATACATGGCATACTAGGGCTTGCAAAATGGCTGAAAAACGAAATTCAAATTTTGTACTTAAATATTATCAAAATTCGAATTATATTCGAATTTAAAATGCATAATTTAAGTTAGGGTGAAGAAAAGCTTTAGGCTTCTCTCCTGAGTCCACAAGAGGGCGCATCGAGCAAAATATTACTAATGCACGTTTATTCAAAGCATAAGATAACATGACTATCTGTGAAAAAAGTGCATAATGTTTAAAATAATGTTCATAAACCAATTATAATTAAGTTGCTTAAACAACTATAAACAAAACAGCATCATGTATGTATGCATAGTTTAATACAAAGGACCGAAATCACACAGAGTACATTTTTCATTTAAAAACATGATATGCAGTGTGATGGGGAAAAAACCCGCCATAAAGTCTCGATATATGTTTTTTCAAAGTTAAACTTTTATTAATTTTACATGACTTTCTAAACATGCGGCTCCTTTGTGCGAGATGCTAGTGCAACGGTGATAGATGTCCCTCTAGAAAATGCACGAAATATGTGTTCTGTGTGAACGGCTTGGTTTCAGTTTTGATGTAAACAAGATCTTCTCAGCATTGATGTTCTCTTTTTCCGCAATATTTTTAATGAACAACGCAGCAGTGCCGCATCCAGTGGGTTCAACTGGATAGGCTAACAAAAACATTATAATGCAATGGCACTTACATCGTCATCGCATCTCGTGCACCACTGATAAGGCTGCCTCCTTAACGCACACCTAAAATTCGAATGCAACATTTTTGCATTCGAATGTGGATTTTTATTTTAAATTCGACGAATATTCGAAATTCGAAAAAAAATTTGACAGCCCTATGGCATACAAGTATTAATAGAAATTACATTAAGGTATATTTTAGTTTACCATAAAAACATGTCAGTATGTTCAGAAGTACATTTTAACCTAAGACAATAAAATAATTATGAAATTATATATTAAGAGTTTATTTGCAAAAACAGATAACTCCGTTTTAAAAAATGTTCAAAAATCATGTTTTTATTATGTTATCATGTTTTTATTGTGTTCTATTGTGTTAGTTAGCTGTATTTTTTAGTTATTTTTTACCTAATCAAAATAACCCAACTGCAGTTTGATTGAGATTAATTGGAATGCACAATGAAAAAGCACTCTTAATTTCACCTGATTGCATTAAACATAAATTTAAATTTAAATACTGTAATTAACATGCAGTCAAGTGTCTGAAAACATCACATTCAGTTCACACTTGACTATATTTTGGCACTGATAGCCGTGTGGGCTCATGCGCCGACATACAGTGTTGTTGCGCTACGGGCAGAATCCCGGCTCGAGGGCCTTTCCCGATCCTATTCTATATATAATTCTATATTCTATATATAATTATTAAGTATATTACTTCCATTATATTCTTTTTCACAATGAATAAATAACGTTTCAATGTTAATAAACTGCATTTGCTATTTAAAGCTAAATTAATTAATGTGAATATATGTTGGCACCCATAGCAGAACTTCACTGTATGTAAATGAGGGACTCTCATTCTGTTGAATGAGCCAGACATGTATGTGTGTGTGTCTGTGTGTGTGTATTTGTGTGTGTAGGGGAACTCTGGGCTAGGTTTCAGTATCGCCGGAGGGACAGATAACCCTCATGTCGGAGACGACCCCAGCATCTTCATCACCAAGATCATTCCAGGAGGAGCCGCTGCACAAGACGGGAGACTCAGGTAACACACAGCCTGTATGTGGATTGCATATACAATGGTCCCAGAAAGCATTTATACTCTTAAGTCATATTTATAAATGTATAATATCATTGCAATGGATAACATCATTTTTTTATCTTTAAAAACCTTTTTGTGAAACATATAAATGTACTGTAACTTTCTTTGAAATGAATGACGTTTGCTTTGATATTTTCTGTCTAATGCAATGATATTCATTTATTTTAAATGTGACTTAAGTAGGGATGCACAATGAATCATATTTTAATCATCAAGATTTCTGCTTTTCTCGATTTATTAATTATGATCGTCTGCGATATCTGGCAGCTGGTTATTTATACTGAAAATATGTTATTTTAATTTGGCATTTGCTTTATCTTGCATTGGTAACAAGCCTCTACAAGCTTTCATGGTTGTGGTTGCCAGATGTCAAGAGCTTAAATCCCCCAATCAGAGTTTTTTTTCATAAATCATTTTCTGCCCTGTGGGTTACTTAATCTTCCCATCCTGGCAACCGTGAGCACGTGCTCTATCAACATTTTGTAAAAAGCACTGATGAGCTGAAAACACAAGTAAACCTGTAAATTGGAGTGTAGCGATCTCTATTGCGATCTTCTGCTCACATAAAAATGTAATACAGTCTATTTTCTTTCACTTCATTTTTTGTAGACTTAAATTTTTGGTCACTGTATGTTTACTGTATATGGACATGTATGCTCACATTCATAATCACATAGTCACAGTTAAATATATCCGTGGATGTACTAGTGATGCATTTATAATGGGACCAGCTGGGATTCCTGCTAACAAATGCAGTTTTACCCCAGAGCATTCCAGCACATCCACACACGCGCGTTTGCACACAAATTCACTCACATTGCAGGAGAAATTAAGCAGACAGAAATAGCACTGAAGAGAGAAAGAAAAACAGAGAGACAGAGAAAGAGAAAGAGAAGAGATAGACAGAAATAGCAGCTTGAGAGCGGTAAGTTCACCCGAAAATAAAAATTCTGTCATTATTTCCTCACCGTCATGTTGTTCCAAATGAATAGAGTTGAATCTATTCAGTGATCCAATTAACGCAGCAGTCTGAGTGGTCGGTGCTGGAGTGGTTCACAGCTCACTGGAGGTGAAGACTGTCAGTGAATTATGATTTATTTCAATCTGTTCATCAAAATCATACGGGTTTGTAGTGACATGTTGGTTAGTTAATAATGAGGGAACTGTTCGCTTTAACCACACACCCTGAGTCAAATATACACACGCACACACACTGTCAGAGCTGATGGACTGTCAGCTGTTTTATGCTGTCCTCTGCTCTTCTTTGCAGACAGTTGGGCTTCATTACTAATGGCAGTTCTGGGACCAAATGGACTGTAGTTTAGAGAGACAGAAGCATTTTTCTTTCCCCCCACAGTGTGATTTTACTATAGAATGTGAATACTATTTTAGAGTTAATGTAATACTTTAAAAAGATACTTTTTGTATCTTCATTCTCTGCACTGCAAGTACTTACGTAGTACAGGCAAGTTATCAGATTATTATATAATATACATTAGGGGTTGAACGGATCATAGTGGATCTGTGATCCAAATGGACCAGGACCCACGGTTTGGCACGCATGTGATTCGCAGATTAACTGCAAAATTTAACATCATAGAGTTAAATGTTATAATTTATATAATTTTGTCTTGCCAATTTACACATTCAAGCAATGTCTTGCCAATTTACACATTCAAATTCACCAAGTTGATTCCTCTTTTACATCTCCTTGTGTTTAAACAGACACACACATACATTTTTTACAAAAAAATGCTTAAAATGCTACAGTAAAAAGCCTGTTAACTGGTTAACTTTAAGTTATCTTATCATATACGGTGAAAAACTTTAAATGGCTACCACTGTAAAATTTTACTATAAAACATTGTCAAATTTAAGGATTTTGCATGTAAAATGAAAAGCAGTAAAAGGACATCCCTAAAAGTCCCTGCATGGCACATCATATATGAATATATTTTCTTAAATAGTTTTGTTTCTTCTTATTTTTTTGTTAACAGTAAGGTATGTCAGGGTGTTTTGTTGTTGTTACATTTTCTGTTACAAGTTAATGATTATTGCACTTTTTTTGTGATGTTTGTTACTTTGATGGTGTTTTGTCTTTGTATGTTTCACCCTGTGCACCGTCTGTTAATGAGTATTGGCAATGTTTTATGAACTTTAACTCATTATGTGACTTTCTACCATCTGTATTCATTTATTTTTTTGTTAGTGCATATTAAGGTTATATATTGGTATTTAACCAATTAATTAAATATATAGTTAAAAGTCGTAAAATATACAGGTGCCAACATGCCATCCCGTAATACCTGAAATATTGTTACTGTGCATGACATGCAACCTGTCTGTGTTGGCATTTGTTTAATTGAACTAGATTCTACAAAGTGACAGATACATTTGTGTTAAAATACTGCATTTGATTTGACACAGAGCTTTTGTCTATGTGAATATTAAACCTATGTGTGATTGAATTGCGAGTTGCATTTGCATTCGCCCTGCCCTGATGATATGTAAATGCTTAGATTTATGATCAAAGCTCTTTTCTAAACATTTAATGCAATGCTATTTATTGATGATTGAGAGATGAACAAATAAATGTTCCTCAAAATCCTGATGGATGATCATTGATACTCACATTTTAACATGATTTTTCTAAAAAATTATGTCTAAAGTAAACCTGCTTCAGTCCAGTCTTGAAATATTACAAACAATATAAAAGTTATTCTTACATTTACTTTATAAAAATCATTGAAGATTTCACAGCATAAAGACACATGAATGACCTGAAGTGGGAGTTCTTACAATTATACTAAAAGGCCTTCACCTGTTTTCCAGCTCAGTTCTGGGTAATGTGTTTCACAGTGTGTGGAGAAGTTGCTGTAGTCCATGTAGACTAAGGAATAGGCTAGAGCTGACAAAACTGACCAAAAAAAAAAAACAATTCTAAAATACCTTAATTCTGTTTTTCTACTTTCTTGGTGGTCAGTGGTAATTAGAGGGCTTTATGATGAATATTTATGAGCAGTTATTTCCAGAAAACTGTATTGACAGTCAGTCATGGCATGATGGCACGTATACTCCCACTCTCTGTAATCTCTGCTTTATGTTTCTGGATGACAGCACAGCTAGTGCTCCATTTGCAATTCTGAAAGCTAAGGAATATTTGTGGTGTTTTGTCGAGTTGTCAGTTTCAGTGAAATGTCTTTTGTCAGATGGTGATGTGCTCTGTGAGAAAATGCTCTGCTTGAGAAAAGAGCAGGTAAAAAGTTACTGTCAGTATCTTTGTAAGTCATTGTAAGCCCTTTTTCGAGGCACGCGCAAGCGCGCGAACACAAAAGAAGACGTTTAGTAGAATGTCCTGGTTGCTTTTTTTTTTTTTTTACATAAAATGAAAGTAAATGGGGCCTGGTGCTGTTGAACTCTACTATGGACAAAATGTACGGTAAAATGAGCCATGTACTATAATACAATAGCTTTGTGTAAAGAACAAGCCAAACTTTAATCTCCCCCTCCCCCGTAGCTTTCAAATCTCAAAGCACGATGTAACGTGAATTACCCAAATAAGGCAAAAACAAGACAACAGTCAGAAACAAATGTCAGAAACAAATGTCACGGCTGAACACAAAGCACATGGTGCTTCACAAAAGGATTTCAAACAAGCGTATCAAACTGAATCACATATTTTAGCGCATTTTAAAACAGTGTTACAGTATGTCATACTGTTTCTATTTTACTGTTTTATAAATATTCATATATGTTCTTGGTGGTTTATCACTAGGGTCAAAGTGTCAGATGCAATTTTATTAACATTTCCAACTAATCAAACATACTCACAACAAACGTTTCAATATTGCAGTGATTCATCACAAGGATTCACCACTGATCTGGTGATCTTATGAAACTGATCTCTGGTCAATTTTGTAATGTAGGTTCAGTTTGAATTGCAAATTATATAAACAAATATATTTGTTTCCAACTGGCCTAGTTAGCCAAACTGTACCTAAAAACATAAAATAAGCACTACAAATCAATAAAACACAAATTCTATTTATATTATATTAAACACATATTATACAGACACTTCATATTTAACCCTGTAAAGCCCTGACATATGAAATAATGGAAAAATCTGGAAAAAGATCAGTTTATTGAAAATGTAGACAAAACGGAAGATTTAGACAAAATGTTTTTTTTTATCATAAATTTTATATCTTTTTTTATCGTGTAGTATGACATGGAGCTTAAAAACACCTCAGTTTCATTCAGAGACTCAAACTAAGAAAAATATGAAAATGTTATTTAGCTTGTAATGTAAAATTCAATGCAATCTTTAGTATACCAGGCAGTATAATAGACTACTTAAATAAAATGCATATAAATATCAGTTGTCACTTTTTATCTCCCAATAATATGTCTTAGTAAGATGATGTTTAAAGGCTTAGTTTTATTGATCAAAGCTCTGTAGTTTTTATTGTGGAGGACAAAACAATGATGGAGGCAATTCAATACTGATTGAGAGATGAACAAATAAACGTTCCTCAAAAAAAAGTATCTATCAAATATGATACAGCAGGCTTTATAGGGTTAATGATATTTAATGATTTATACATTGTATTTAATAGATTTAATTGACTGTTTGCAATTGGTTTGTGAATTGTTTTGTACAGTAAATCCTTTTGCAATTGATTCAATTGATTCAAAGTTGTGAAAAACTCAGTTTCTTCTATCACTATGATTTTTGACTGAATTAATAACGCAAGTCCTAAATACAAAGCGTGGCACAATACTTAACAACAAGAACTTTCAAAATAAAAAACATCAAAATACATGTAATCCATGAAACCAGCGGAAAAAAAAATAGAAACAGCCATAGGTTCTGTCACTGAAATTTTTCAGCCATAGATGCAATAAAATACCTCTTTTTCAGTTTTCATCAGATAGAGAAAATATGACGAAACCCATAAACCATCCAATAACATTATCTTTGACGTAGAAAAAAAACAGCATGCAGGATGAAATTGAAATCAGAACTTGTTTATTATACATTGACAAGTCTGTCACTGGATTCTGGAGCTGATACAAGGCAGAGTTAACGCTTCTGTCAGTCAGCCAGAGGCCATGGTTATTGCCTGATGTCCATAATCTCAAAATGGCCAACTTTTAGTCCAGTTTGTTCATGTGTAAATTCTGCGTTAACGTGCTGCAGTATGTAAACACAGTATATTAGCTGTGTGGTTGTGTATTCTGTGAGAAATAAAATCTCTCTAGACAGTCAAATTTAACTTAATATAATTTGAACATACCATCATTTGTATCTTGTATGCCAGTGTTGCCATAAACTAAAAAAAGGAATAAAATGTGATTTTTAAATTCAAAAACTCAAATTTTGAGGCAGCTGTCAGTTCAAAGGTTCATATATGGCTGAGCACTGGCAGCTTCTCACAGATGTTGCATTATTAATTCCTTATTTCCATTTCTCCCTCTTTGTCTTAGAGTAAATGACAGTATTCTCTTTGTGAATGACGTCGATGTTCGGGAGGTGACCCACAGTCAGGCGGTGGAGGCTCTCAAGGAGGCGGGTGCTATCGTCAGACTCTATGTATTACGCAGGAAACCCCTCGCTGAGAAAGTCACCGAAATCAAGCTCATCAAAGGGCCAAAAGGTATGGACTTTATACTTATAGTAATGAAACATATGTGATTATCAGAGATGCATAAGTGATCATTGGTTTGGCAATACAAAATTAATATTGGATGTTGTAGTGGGGCAGATGCAGCGTCACACAAAAGCAAAAGTTTTGTTTACAAGACGACTTAGGCTCTATGTATCACTTATATTTACTCATCTACCAGACGCTATTATCTGAAGTGACTTACAAATGCAGAATACAAAACAGTGATTGATCACAATAATTTAGGGACCTGCTGTGAGCTACAAGGTTGTTAATTCATTGTATATGTTTTGGTCGAAGCTATTCGTTTGCATTATTTCAACAGCAGTGGAATTTGGGGTTAGAAACTACATTACCCAAGATGCTGTGCAGAAAGCTCCACCAATCAGAGTCGTAGCGAATAAATCATGCTAAAAGAGCTTGAAAGGGAAAGCCTAGTCCCATGAAGCAAAGTGAATGATGTAATCGAGTCGGTCTCATTACACTCAAAATCCTCAAATATTTGTGTATATATATATATATATATATATATATATATATATATATAGCACAAA